CCCTAGCCAACTGATGGTGCCCATCCACATGGAGGCTGTGTCTCTCCACCCATCTACTCAGATTCGTGTGCTAATCTTAATCTCATTTGGGAATGCCTCCACAGACACACCCAAAATAATGCTTTTCTGGGCTTCTAGGTATTCCTTAATTCAGTAAAGGTGACACTCAAAATTTGCCATCTCATTCATAGGTAACGCGATTGTGTACATAATATAAATAAAATAAAAATAATGAAATCTAAATGAATATATAAAACTTGAAAATTAAAAAGTGAATTTAGCAAGGACTCTAGATATGAGATGAATATTTTAAAATCAACCAGGGTCTGGTGCTGTGGTGTAGAAGGTAAAGTCTCTGCCTACAGTGCCAGCATTCCATATGGGTGCCAGTTCGAGTCCCAGCTGCTCCACTTCTTATCCAGCTCTCTTGTTATGGTCAAAAAAAAAAAAAAACAGTAGAAGATGGCCCAAGTCCTTGGGCCCCTGCACCTTTATGGAAGACCTGGAAGAAGCTCTTGGCTCCTGGCTTCGAATCTGCCCAGTTTCAGCCATTCTGGCCATTTGGGGAGTGAGCCAGCAGATGGAAGACCTCTCTCTCTCTCTGTTTCTGCTTTGTAACTCCGCCTTTCAAATAAATAAATCTTTAACAAAATATCATTTATAACAGCATCAACATGTAGTAAAAGATACATAAGACATCTATACTGAAAGCCACAAAGTATTTTTGAAATTTTTAAAATCTGAGGAAGCAGAAAAATATACAATGTTCATGGTTTAAGTTCTTCCCAGAGTAATTTATAGATTCAATTTCAATCAAAAACTGCTGGTTTCTTTTTGATGAAATGTCTAATCTGTTTCTAACCTGTTTATTATATCTTAGTTTATCTGTCTTATGTTTACATGTCTTAGTTTATCTGAAGTGCAAAGGATTAACCCTCCCAGATAGCTTGGATGCTCAGTACTGGAAAGCTACAATTATCTTCACTCTGATTGGATCTTTGTAGGTCAAGTTCATATCACTGAAATAGGCACTATGTTCAGATAATCCTGAACCCATCAGGCTCTGATTTAGAACCTGGGTGGGCTCAATCCCCTAAAACCATAGGGAACCTACATACTGGAAGAAGATTCAAGTAGGTATTGAGGAGGCAACCATATGTCTGCCATCACAGCCTTTATGTACTAGGTACTTTTACTGGACCCAAACCTTAATGAAAAATTATTGGACAAGTGCAGAGAGATAAAGAGTCTATAGAAAGAACAACTTGGACAGTAACAGAAGTGTGTTATTATATAGTACACCCAGGATTGGTGGGAAATTTCATATCATTTCTGAATATGGGAATGAGTAGAAGACAGGATGAGAAATGGCCACATGATAAAGAGCGTGGGTTCCGTTGAAGGCGCCCAGACTTCATCCTGGAGAGTTAGATAACCAAGCTTCTGCTTGAAAACCTGGAACTGTGAAAGTCTGATGTCGGAAAATAATCAAGAAACTATTTAGTGGGAGAGAAATAGTAAGGTATGTACCTAAAGCCATTGAGGAGACCAGCTGACACTGATTGTTGAAGGGGCCTTAAAGTTGGCTCTTTCCTCACGGGAATTCTTGGAATTCTTACAACAACCCCTGGAGATGAGGCAGCAGACAGAGGATAGGCAATCTACCCAGAGTCACACATCCAATATACAGCGGGGCCAGAGCATTTTAATCCAGGCCAGCTGATTCCCAGCCTTACACTCAACCAAGACACAATGGCTAGAGGAGAGTCGCAGCCAGACATATATTTAGGAATTTCCCCATTAGGCTTTGGTTGTGGCTGGGATGTTGCTTCTATGAAATAGTGCTGCCATGTTCTTCCTCTTCCCTCAATGAACCTATTTCCATCACTGGCTCCCTTTAACTCTGAATTGGTGTCTGCTCTTTCTTTTCTAAACACTTACTTACTCTTTCGGAGGGTTTTTCTACCTAATCTATCAACTTTATGTTGATTTGACCCAAATCTCCCATTTCCAGTCCCAATTTCTCAGTCACACTCTGAAAAGTCATTTTGACTTGTCCTTTCATCACCTAAAACCCATATCTAAAATTAAACTCATATTTTATTTCAGTTTTGCTTGATGCTTTCTATTAATAGCAAAACTCACTAGTCTTCCAGGCTATCGAAGAGTATTTGACTGTAACATTCCTTCACCTTTCACACCCTGTCAGACAACCAGTGGAGTCAGCTCTTTGGGGGTCTCTTAGAGTCTTCCCTCCCCTTCATAACTCTGCTTCCAAGGTACTATTAGGTCTCAGAGTCTTACACCTGAATTGCTGCATTTATTTCCTGCCTGATCCCCCTGCATTTAGACTCCCCTATTTAATCTACCCTGCACCCTCAAGAACACTCTTGCTCAAATATTGACTTCATAACTGCCTTAGTCAAGAACTACAGATGGCTTTCTATCACCTAATGAATCAAGAAGACTGAATAAACTCTAGCCCATTCTCTGCCTAAATTTGAAGACACTACCTTGTGTCATTTATGTTATCAGAATCCAATGTCTGTAAACTTGAACTTTCCACTTTGGTCAATTTTCTTATCGCTGTCACGTCTTCTCCCAACATCCTCTATATGTAAACAGGCACACACCGTGTTCCTTCTCATTCAAACTGTTGCTAATCCTGTTCACCTGGCCTAGGGTGCCTCCTTCCTTTCACTCAGACCTAAACCGCAAGTGACTCTCCTTGATGACTTCAAAACAAAACTATATGTCCCGCCCCCAACTTCTTCTCTTACTCTCACTGCCCAAGAATATCTGTTATTCTCCAGATGTCTGTGTTAAACCTGTAAGGCTTTATTGTGTTAATATAGAAAGCCATTCTATTCACTAGTTCATGTATATATCTTTTTTTTCCCAACAGGAAAATGAGCTCTAATGTTCAGCTTAAAATTGTGTCTTCTTCTTATTTATATTCATAGTGTCAAGGATTATACTCAATAAATTCCTGGTTGAAACTGTAAGCACATGTATTTTTTATGCTGCATATATCTGTATAAACTGAGTTTATCTGAATAATAATGAAATACACTCACTGTTCTCTCATTTGAAAGCACTGTTTCCTTCATAGAATTGAAAATACAAATATTCCCAAATGTTTCAGACATTCTGCTTTGTATATTCAAACTATACTAAAGTTATACCTTTTAGGGTAATATTTTTAATTATTCTGGGGGAAAAAAGAAAGCCCCTGAAGGCTAACAGTTTGAAATTGAACAGGACACCCTTGGGAAGGGAGAGGGGTCATGGGTCTTCGTCAAACAGACAAAAAACAATGGAGACGATTGTGCCTGAAGATGGTGTATTTTTTTTCACGAGACAGTGTGTTGACAGTTTCCTTCCTCTTGGGTCATTGTTGTCTGCTAAACGATCTGTGACAGCAAATTGATCACAAGCTTTTTCATGCAGGAGATATAATGCAGCCTTTCATTTGGTTACCTCCATTGCCAAATGCCGAAACATTTCATTGGCAAATTAATGTTAGTTTAGTATATCATTTAGTAGTGTAAAGCATGGCATGCCGCTCTGGAAGCAATAATAGTAATGATTAATTTATCTCCACCTGGTTTCAGATTTCTACTTAAGTGTGATTGCAAAAGTAGTAACACATTTGAAAAATATTAAGTCTTAAAATTAGGTGTCCATATTGTTATTTAAATAAATAAATGCATTAACACGTTTAGATATTGCCCCATTAAGTTCAAAAGTGAGTCAAATATTTACTTTCAGGTACCTACAATCTGCCTGTAAAAATTAGCACTAATATACTTGTTCTAACTGAAAAGTTGTTTCTTCTTCCAAAGAGCTGGGAGCTAACATTGGGAAACAGATGTAATGCATATTACATTCGGTGTTAAGCGTCTATTTAAGCCGGTGAGTTGATGATCTCACATGTCTGAAAAATAGCTCCAAGAAATGCTTTGTTTATAGAGTGTTGAGAATCTCTTTGTTCAAAACGTTCATAAAAAAATGCATGGAAATGCAGTGATTTAAATACTGCTTTAGAGTTCCCATTTAATAATTTTTAAGAATTTTTGCGCTCCCTTTAGGACATATTAATGTCAGCACAGGGAAGGAAACGTACAGATAGGAGTATTGGAGAAATAGTTGGTTTCCTCCACTCATTTGAAAGCAGCCAGATTTGGTATAAACATTAATCTATTCTGGTGCTTTTATTCTGTTCTCAAAACAAGAAGGAAACAGGTGATTTCACCAAAACGTGTCAGAGAAATTCAAGAAAACTGTTCATTGTAAATGAGAAAATTTACAGGTATAATGCTTTGCTTAAAATTCTTTTGTAATGTTAGTCATGACGGGCAGGTGTCTTAAACCTGTGTTTTTCTTTTTATAATATGCATATGGCAGCATATTTACATTTATTATTGGAAAATTATTTGGGCAGATTTTTCTTTCCATAATTCCCATTCATTAAAATGAAGTTAATATTATATTCATTTCTTAGAAATCTTTATGTATAAATTGGCAAAATAGTCTTTCATGTGATAAGATACTGTTATCTGAACTGTTGCCTCAATAAAATGATTTTTAAAAAGCAAATTTACGCCGGCGCTGCGGCTCACTAGGCTAATCCTCCGCCTAGCGGCGCCGGCACACCAGGTTCTAGTCCCAGTCGGGGGGCTGGATTCTGTCCCGGTTGCCCCTCTTCCAGGCCAGCTCTCTGCTGTGGCCCGGGAGTGCAGTGGAGGATGGCCCAAGTACTTGGGCCCTGCACCCCATGGGAGACCAAAAGAAGCACCTGGCTCCTGCCTTCGGATCAGCACGGTGCGCTGGCCGCAGCGCACCAGCCGCGGTGGCCATTGGAGGGTGAACCAACGGCAAAGGAAGACCTTTCTCTCTCTCTCTCTCTCTCTCACTGTCCACTCTGCCTGTTAAAAAAAAAAAAAAAAAAAAGCAAATTTACAAACTACTCACTGTCTAATTTTTATTTATATTTTCAGACCAATTAAGACAATCTCATTTTATGAATACCACAAGACATGGTCTGGAATAGCTACATCAAAGGCCTCAGAATTCTACAAAACTCCATGTAAGGTGATCTAGCCTTATCCTGTGTCCTTTGGAATATATTAATCTGTTATCCTCAGCTTGCCTTGTTTTCAAAGAATAATTGACATGTATCTGCTATGTATGGGTGATAAACTTCTCTATTGGCTTTATGTCCTGGTCATTCAACAACTATTATTTTAGTTCCTGTTTTGTACAGAGCCCTGGACTGAAGTCTGATTAAAAGCCAGGAGGAAAGATAGGCAATTGCAGAAATAAATGATGAAGTTCTTCATCTTAAAGAGGTTCACTTCTCTCCCTTCACTCCAGAAAGCCACCTTCACTGCAGGAGGAAAAAATTTAATGCTAAACACAATTATCCTCCAAGCCAAAGGAAGTATTAAGTAGAAATTCAGCAAGAAAACATAAGAACCTAAGAAAGCATAAGAGCCTATAATTATGTTTAATTAAATCGGTCTAAGAAGAAACACCATGTCAGCATCACACATTAGGAACTAAAAAGATAACATGGGAGAAGCTGGACAACTTTCTGGCTCCATTTCACCAGATCTCCAGAGCACTGTTTCATTATTTGGATGCAAGTCAGTCCTCCAGGCTACACACACTCACTGAAATAGGACTTTGCCTCAGCCATCCTGCTATGACTTCCTAATTCCCACATTCAGTTATGTCTCTTTAGTCCTTTTCTTACTTGAATTCTCATGACTACAGTCTCCTTGACTTACAGACCACCACACATTTGTGGTTTTCTTCTGCCTTCCTCTGCCTCTTACCTTTGCAATAACTTCTTTTTTAAAAAGATTTATTTATTTATTTATTTATTTGAAAGTCAGAGTTACGCAGAGAGAGAGATCTTCCATCCAATGGTTCACTCCCCAGTTGATCCGAAGCCAGGAGCCAGGAGCTTCTTCCAGGTCTCCCACGTGGGTGCAGGGGCCCAAGGACTTGGGCCATCTTCTACTGCTTTCCCAGGCCACAGCAGAGAGCTGGATCAGAAGAGGAGCAGCCAGGACTAGAACTGGCGCCCATATGAGATGCCAGCGCTTCAGGCCAGGGCATAAGCCCACTGCACCACAGCGCCAGCCCTTCCTTCACAATAACTTCTTTCAGTCCTTTCTACCCCCTCTTTGGAAGACCTCTCACACTGTCAGTTCAGTTCACCTACATGCCAGCATTTCCTAAAGCTACATCTCTAGTCCTTTTCTGGATTCTACGTGCGTATTTATAACTGTGTGCTGGACATCTCAGTACATGTATTAAAGACCCCTCAAAGTAAATTCATTATGTTGTCCCTTAGTCCCTCTCTTGGTTAGGGGTAGATCATCATTGTTGCATCTTCTAGTCTAATCCAGAATATTAGAAATTTCCTGGACCTCTTGATCTCTCTCATTAAACCTTACAATTTATCCCCTGTAGCATTAGGAACACTTCCACTCTGCTCCATTCCCATGATCACTGCCTTAATTTGGAGTCTCATTGTATCTTATCTCATCTCATCATTGTGATAGTTTCCTACCATCATGAAAATAGGATGTAGTGTTAAGGCACAAATCAAGGCAAAAAGCAATACTAAGCTCAAGAAATATTTTAAAGAGCAAGTTAGGTCAATAACTTTAAGAAATCACATGTTCTTTGAGCAAGTTGGTCACATAATTATTTTCTGATTATACATTACAGTCCTCACTCACTCACAAATTCGTGCAATGGAAGTTGTTTCAAGGTACACAGGATTTAGCCAATCTATCCATATAAAGGATTTTGTCATTTTCTTTACTAGAGCACATAAATATTTACTTCATTTCAAAGACCTGTGGCTGAGTGCTGCTTGGTCTGTCCAGCAAACACACACTTCCTGCCTACTGCCTATGAAGCGCTCAAGTACTCACGTGGATTCCAGGGGCGATAACCCTTAACCACACAAACGCGGTGTCTGGAGACATTAACTGGCACCCACTCAGGAACGATTCAAAGTCAGAGCCCTTCAACAAAACAGCAGAGAGAGTGTTCCAGGATGGCACTTTCTAGACTAACATGTAAATACACAGGGCCACTTGGAAATCCCAAACTGCTAGACAGCAAAGCAGTAGAAGCACACGCCAAATCGCAAGGAGATTTGAGAATGATTGCTTTGCAATAAAAAAACAATTGAAAGATGGAAGGAAATAATGAGGTACCACTGACAGCAGTTCTTTCCTCAAACTCTCTCATTTTGTTGTTCCTACATCTGCCACTACCCCAGAGTGTAACGCAGCCCCCGTTGTAAAGGCAATAGCTGGTAACCGTTATCTCCAGCCCAGAAGAATTTCCGAGACTTTGAGTGTAGCACTTGGTGCAAGATTTCACAACCACTCTGCCTCCTCTTCCCCTATGGAATTGTTCTAAGAATGTTTCAAGAGCTTTCCTCCAATAATAACCAGCACTTAATTAAAAAACAATTAAATGTAAACCTCACATGTGCTGCTGGCTGTTTTGTCTTTTGATAGTTTCAGCTGGATGACATCCAACACTATCTTTTTTTAATGGCCTAATTTCCTGGCAGTAATAAAGATGAAGCTTTTAGATTGCAAATGCTTCTCCAACAACTCAGAAATAAAAGGGAAACCCCTAATAACTTCATTTTCTACAGTTACATTCTTCTCACTGGAAAAATTATTAAACTGTTGTGCCTATTTTTAAAGGCTTTGTCTTTCAGGATAAGTAGTGACATTTTGGTTTGGGGGATTCACTCTTTTCTATATCTTTATGCCACAAATTTATACATGGCTATGGCTGCCATAATGATAGTAAGTTTGTTCCTGTGTCTTACAGTTTACAGAGCATGCTCAAATCTAGTATGTTATTTTTATTTTTTTAATTTTTTTTAAAGATTTTTATTTATTTATTTGAAAGTCAAAGTTACAGAGAGAGGAGAGGGAGAGGGAGAGAGAGAGGGAGAGGGAGAGAGAGAGAGAGAGAGAGAGAGAGGTCTTCCATCTGTTGGTTCACTCCCCAATTGGCCACAATGGCCGCAGCTGCACTGATACGAAGCCAGGTCTCCCACACAGTTGCAGAGGCCCAAGGACTTGGGCCATCTTCTACTTCTTTCCCAGTCCATAGCAGAGAGCTGGATGGGAAGTGGAGCATCCGAGACTCAAACCAGCGCCCGTATGGGATGCTGACACTGCAGGTGGCAGCTTTACCCACTACGCTACAGTGCTGGCCCCAAAATCTAGTATGTTTTAAAAACCACCCCAATCAATCTTTTATTCATTGATTCAACCAGTGTTTATTGAATATCTAATGTATGTCGTGCACAGTAGCATATCTGCCCTGTGAGCTAAGCATTAATATTATTACCCTGTTTTACAAACGAGAAAACCAAGACAAGCAGTAGTTTACCCAAGGTCGCACATGTGAGGAAGAATATCACATACTGGCAAAAGAGGGTGGGTTCTGGAGGTAGATTGCAGGGTTTAGGCCTGGCTCTGCCATTTACCAGTTGTGTGACATGGAGTAAGTTACTTAACCTCTGCATGTTCCAGGTCCCTCATCCATAAAGCAAGAATAAATAGAGGATGTAGCTCACAGGATGGAAGCACACAGTGAGCACTCTGTGAATGTGATTTTTCTTCACTAAGTGGGCCATGGTCCAGAGACTGAAACCAGCTGCTCTGGCCCCACTTTTGTTGCTTTTTCTATCATGACTGTCCTGACTCCATCATAGGATAGCAAAGTTACCTCTGTACAATACAACAGTTAAGTTCAGGCTCTGAAGGATATACAATAAATTCATCAATAATTACATGCTTTAGTACTTAACTGAGGCAATCACATGGGAAAATGTACCAGTGATCCATTGTTCTCTGTCCATCACTATAGAATGGCAACTAAAAGGTTTGGCAGAGAACAAACGAATACATATGGTTGTGGGCAATAGCGCCTTAACGACAGAATATGATCCCCATAAGGAAATGTTTATGTGAGAGGCAAAGCATTCCTTCAGACCAGTGTGCTCGGTAACATTGAGCGTAGGCTTCCTGATGTTTGCTTGCTGTCATCAAGCAGACCAAACAGCCTGAAGCATCATGGGGATGCTTGCTTTCACCCTAGGAAACTTTGATTCTCTGAGTCGTTGAGCCAGCAATAAGAACAAGTCTCTCCGAAACACATTTAGATGCAAGAAGCAGTATCACCTGGTTCCAATGCACTGGTCTGAAGTCTTGACTGCTCATCAGAACCACCTGAGGAGCTTGTAAAAATTCCAATATAAAGGGCACACCCCAGACCAATTACATTAGGTTCCCTGGGAGTAAGACCAGGTAGTAGTAGTTTTTAAAGCTCCCCGGGTGACTACAATGTGCAACCAAGATTGGGAAGGCTCTAGTGGGAAGAACATGATGTCAGAATTCAGAAATTCCTTAGCCCTGCCTTTGCACGTACAGGTAAGAGAGTTTAAGGTAGTTACCAAATTCTTTCTACTTCTTCATTTCTACTGATTGACAAGATGTTCTACCTGTAAGTGGCTCAATGGTCAATATGAGATCCTATGTGTGAAAATAAAACCTGCTGCAGCCAGTTGGTGCTGTTGTATTTCTTTGATGTAAACAATCGTAGCAGTGGGGAATAAAAATCTCAGGTCAACCTCTACCAATGTTGGAAAAGAGGTGTGTCAGGAAAAAAAAAAAAAAAAAGAGTACATGCCCAGCCCAGTAATTCCCAGTAATCCTCAGAAAGAACAACAGGGAATCAGAACTTTGCTAGGGAGCAAGAGAATGCCTTCTTACCACAGATTACAAAACCGCTACAGAAGCAAACTGCAATAATGAATTTTAATTTTCAGAGCTTTTGCTAAAATTCTACTCTCTCTGTTCTTCTCTGTTTCTTCATCTTCATTATTTCTTTCCAATCAGCATGGATCACTGGCCATCTTCTCTGTCTAGACAATTGGCTGAGTTTTGGAGGCAAAATGATACATGTCATGATGAACTTTTTGGAGAGTTTACAGGCAGGTGCTAGGAGTCAGATGAGTGAAAAAAAATTTTAAGGATAAAATATGAGAAGTGTTAAAAGTTTGTATGGCATTTTCATCTCTCATGGTAGAGAAAGCAAGGCATAAAATGAGTTAATGATAGAAAACTAGTGGAACTATTTAGGAAAAATGACACATCACTTGGGGTTTCATAATTTACAGGAAAGGGACTGCCCTCTATATTCCAATATAAAATGTAAGGAAGACAATTTCAAAACAATTTGAGGAAAGATATGAATTACCCCTGAAGGGAAGTCTCAAAAGGCAATAGCATTTGAGAAAGGTTAAATTTTGACTGAGAGTCATGAAGATTCCTGATGAGAAGATATTACTCAATCTTTCTTTGTTTGTTCATTGGTAAAGTGGGTATAATAACGGCAACCACTGCATGTCTACTTTATAGGTGTCCAGCACATGGCAAGAATTCTATTGATGTTAGTTTTTATAATTGTGTAAAGGAAATAATGAGACCTCACTAAGAACTCTGGGGAGCTCAGATTTGCTTCTGTAATGAAAGGGCAGAGCGTATATACGAAATATCAATGAAAGAGTATTACTGAATTCTACAAGAATATTTACATATTTGTTCTTTTGTGTGTTTGAAGCAAGAAGGCTAGGAACATTGCTGGTGGAAATCCAGTACTATTAATAAAAGAAAAGAACTATTCAGTTTAAGTGTTTTATCTATCAATGGAAAATACCATGAAGCTAAAGGAGAAGCAGTAAATTAATGATTATTACAGGAAGCCCAGATAAGGGCAAGACTGAGGGACCCTGGCTGGTTAAATAGTTCAAGACTGTAAACTCAGAACAATGATAAGGGATAAGGAGATAGATAAGTATTTGTGGGAATATGATCTGACTTAATAGTATATCAAGTAAGCATTACCAGGGCCTTAATCACAGTAGGTTTAAAAAAAATCTTTTGTGATTTTGATTGATGACATAAAGTTCATAATTCTGTGATTTCTGGAAAATACTAATGCAGATCTGAGCTGAATTAATAGATACATAGTGCACAGGTCAGGGGAGGTAGTAAACACTCATGCCCTTGGTATTCAAACTAACTCAAGCTCCTGATCTGGTTCTGGACACATACTTGAATAGAAACATCAACAAAGTTCACCACAGAACAGCAAAGATGGCTAAGTCTCTAGAAAATTGTGTCCTAAGAAAAAGTTGAAGGACCTGAGCTCTAATACAAGAAGAGGACTCTCACTCGTGGGAGAGGAACGAACTCACTCAGTTTTGCTCCAGAGGTCAGAACTAGGACCAGAAGAAATTTGCAGGATAAAGATTAAGGAAGGACATTGTAGCCCTTATTATCTGCCAACAGAATGGGCGGTCTCGCAACAACAACATGGAGCGTTTTCTGTTGTTGGCAAAGGATTAATAATTCAGAGCCTGGGTGCTCATCTGTTTGAGATCCTAAGATCTGTAATTTCAGTGCACACCTTCTATTGCAGTGGGTTAAGCTACCACTTGGAACAACTGCATTCCATACTGGAGTGCTTGTTTGAGTCCCAGCTACTCCACTTCCAATCCAGCTTTTTGCCAGTGCATCCCGGGAGGCAGCAGATGATGGCTCAAGTGTTTGGATCCCTGCCACCCATGTGGGAGACCTGGATCAAAGGTCCTGGATGTTGTAGGCATAATGGGGAGTGAGCCAGTGAACAAAAGTCTCTCTCTCTGTCTCTTTCAAGTACCTTTCAAGTAGATGAAAATAATTTTTTTTAAAGATATCTCTTCCTGCTCCAAGATTCTTATTTTTCTACTTCAAGTGTAAACTTGTTAAACTGTGATGTCTGTGATTTCTATATGAATTATTTCAATATTTTGTTATGATTGTTAAAAAACAAAATTTCAGGCCGGCGCCGCGGCTCACTTGGCAATCCTCCGTCTGCGGCGCCAGCACATCGGGTTCTAGTCCTGGTTGGGACGCCGGATTCTGTCCCGGTTGTTCCTCTTCCATTCCAGCTCTCTGCTGTGGCCCGGGAAGGCAGTGGAGGATGGCCTAAGTGCCTGGGCCCTGCACCCACATGGGAGACCAGGAGGAAGCACCTGGCTCCTGGTTTCGGATTGGCGAAGTGCGCTGGCCATAGCGGCCATTTCGGGGGTGAATCAACGGAAATAGGAAGACCTTTCTCTCTCTTTCTCTCACTAACTCTGCCTGTCCAAAAAAAAAAAAAAAAAACCTTAAAGATCTAGTTGGTTTTTATCAGTGATTCATGGATCAGGTAGCGTCTCTTCTAAAGAACAGATCCATGCTCCAGTGTGCACGGCAGGGCAGATGGTTTTTATAAGGCAAGTAGAACAGGAACAAAAAGACAGAATAAAAGGGAAAAAATAGATTGGTTAGAACAGGTTACTTCAGATTACTTTTCTTGTAACCATTAAAGCAGAGGGGATTTCCTTATGCTGCCTGAGACTGACGGGGTCCCTTCTAACTGGTTGCTCGGAATCTCTTACTTTTAGGAAAAGCTTGTCTGTTTCCTTTAAAATTTCAGCTTGATTGCGAGGCACTTAGCATGAGTGCCTCCATTTTGCTTTGGTCTTTGGGGGCTTATGCGGGAGCACAGTCCAAACAATGACCTCCTACAAATTTTATTCAACAACACAAATGATCTATAAACAAATGTCATTATAGTGAAAACAATTTTCAAGTCACAATCTACTTATTTCAAACAACATCTTATAAAATACCAATAAAAGGAAGAAATTTGGAGTTTCAGAGCACTGTAACATGATGTGAACCGTATAATGTATCTTATTGTCACATATCAACTTAATGAGAAGTGAATTATTTTCAACTTTTAACTATTATTAAAGAATGTATGCAGAGCTCATTTTTTCTAATGCTCTCATTTCAGTGCTTAAAGATCCAGAGTTCCTTGGACAGTATTATAAATGGAAGAAAATAGATCTACAATATCCTAAAGAATGGAAATTAAAGTAAGAAATGTTAAGTGCCTTGAATTTATTATCCCATTAACTCGAAATGCACATTATTCCATTTTCTACTACTTAACTGAACCATCAGGATAAACCCTTGGAAATAACAACTGTTGCCTTTTTCTGTGCCTAAGAATAAGGAGAAGAAAGTTCCATTTCTTCCTTTCATGTGAACTCAGGGGGGAAATACCTCTGCTCTGTCTTGGATGCCAAAGATGGAGACAGGACACGGGCCCCAGTGCAGAAAGCTCAAACGCCCTCCCCATGAGTTCCCTTCCTCCCATCCATCTCATCTCCATCAGTGTGTGCCTTAGAAGTAGTAACAACAACAGCAGCAGCAGAAACCGCATATCTTCAGTTAGCTTTTCATCCTTCTCTAACTTCCTCCTCATGCAGGAACCAAATACATCAAATCTAGTGAGGAAGTATGTAGAAAAATATCAAAATAAATTATTATAATATCTTCAGCAATCAATGAGTCTTGGGCCATATGAAAAAAAGGGGACCATAAATCTTTGGTCTCTTGTCCTTTTGAAGACAGTCTTTGTGCTTCACCATGCTGGAGTGGAGATTCCATCTCTGCTCTGGGGCACTGGTTGCACAGTGACCACTTACACAGGGTGCTGTTTGCAAGGTGCTCAGTGAATATATGCCACCTTAAAGCTAGAGAATTGAAGATTCCAACTGTGACATCCCCCTCATTTTTTAACTCTTCAGCTTACTGTTAGTGTCGAGTGAAATACAGGATTCATAGAAATAGCATGCTGTATTTTAAATTTGTGTAGAAATTGAGGTTCTTGAAATACCTGTGAATTTCCCTGCCCTTTAACATCATATTTTGGATTGGATTTTAAGTCAGATTTTCTTTTTTTCAATTGACTTCTGCAAAAACTTCCTTCAGCTCAAAGCAGAGAAAAACTTTTGCATTAGATACTTTTGTGCTTTCAAGATAAATTATAGGCAGTAAAAAAGTTTTTATTAAGCGGAATTTGAAGGAATACAAGCATGTTTTCATTTTTTGAAGGCACGTTTCAAGTTTCTTATTGAGTTGTAGAAACTCACTTAGAAAATAAGGTTAATTTTGCTTTGACATGACTTCCTCTTTGATTTCCTTTAACAGAACTGCTTTTTTTGTTTGATCCTTGATTCATTATGTAATGCCAACATCCCACAGAACCCAAAAATGTAGGAAAAGTAGGACCATGTCATTTTCAACTTATTCATCCACTTCTACATATGGCTAAAATAATTGTGAACAGTTTGAGTGCTCAAACATTTTTTCAAATACGTTATTTTGAACTTGTAGGTCAAATTATCATGTGCATAGTGACCCTGTCAGAATAAAACCCTCACACCTTATGCCATCTGGTGGTTGATGAGAATATATTATTTAGATCAAATGCTATCTGCTTTTTGTAAATTTTGGTATTGATTAGTTTAAGGATACACTTTAAAAACAGATTACATTTATCTAGATTTTAATGTGGCATAAATGTTAAGTATGTAAACATGTAAAATATAGTAAAGACCCAAAGAATGGTGAAATTCAACTTCTTTTCATATAATTATCAGAAGTCTTGGATTCATCAAAGTACATGACGTATGGTAAAATATTCATTTCACAAGACTCAAATAGAAAATTAGTGGGGATCTCTGCAAATGAGTAACTGATCTTATGTGCATGCTATACGTATTAGCTGTCAGAGGCTACTTATGATGACAAGAGGTGTATTCAGCTCATAGTTTTGGAGTTCAAAGTCCAAATAGCATTAACTCAAGTGCAATGTTAAGGGCCACCCTCTGGCTCTATCACCTCATGGTGCAGATGCAATGGTGAGAGCAAGCAAGTGATCACTTTTTTAAAAATTTTTAAAAAGATTTTTATTTATTTATTTGAGAGAGAGTTACAGACAGTGAGAGGAAGAGACAGAGAGAAAGATCTCCCTTCCGTAGGTTCACTCCCCAGATGGTCGCTGCGGCCAGCGCTGCGTTGATCCGAAGCCAGGAGCCAAGTGCTTCTTCCCAGTCCCCTATGCGGGTGCAGGGGCCCTAGGACTTGGGCCATCCTCCAGTGCCTTCCCAGGCCACAGCAGAGAGCTGGACTGGAAGAGGAGCAGCCAGAACTAGAATCTGCACCCATATAGGATGCCAGCGCCACAGGTGGAGGATTAACCTACTGCGTCACAGCACCAGCCCCAAGTGATCACTTCTTAAACCAGGAGCAGAATGGACCACCCCAGCTGACCCAAAGACCTCCCATTAGCCCTGCCTTTTAAAGGTCCACACCATCTTCCAATAGACTACCCTGGGGACCAAATTTCCTACACATGAACCTTTGGGTGGACAAAAACCATATCAAACCATATCACTATATAATCTCATTATGCATCACTCTACTTTTCATAAGCATTTGAAAATGCATTCTTTATTTAGTGGAGGGTTAACCTTGTGATTATAAAGTAAGTTGAAAATATATCACTGTAAAAATTTTTTAAAAAACGGAGGAAGCGGGAGGGTGGGGAAGAGTGAAGGGAGGAAGGAGGGCAGGGTGGGAAGGATCATTATGCTGTTAAAACTGTATACATGAAATACATGAAATTTGTTCCCTTTATATAAATAATTTTTTTAAATCTCACAAATGAAATAAAACAGAAAATGCTGGCTGAGACACTTTCGTTTGCACAGTGTTGAGGGAGAAGAGAGACCTAGCTCTGTGTTACTGTCCTATCCTTTCCTCTGTTCTCCCTGCCCTCCTCATCAATCAATACCCCATTCTTAAACCACACAAATTTATCTTTTGTCACTTTTGTTTGGAGATAGAAGTTTTCTTTGTGCCTTCTGCCTGGAATATGTTTCTCAGCAGAGTTTTGCAGGCTATATAGAGTTAGGGTTTGGACTGAGTTAAAAGCCAGGATGTGCAGTGCTTAAGCCTTGGGGTGCTGGGGCCAAACTGCCTGCATTTGCCTTCTAGCTCTACCAGCTCCCTGACCTTGAGCATGAGACCTGACTTATTTGAGCTTCAGTTTTAGCCACTAAATGGAGGTTATAATATGCCTACTTCCCAAGGAATTTGTGAGGATTAAATAAATTAATATATGTAAAATGTTTCAAGGCTGGCGCCGCAGCTCACTAGGCTAATCCTCTGCCTTGCGGCGCCGGCACACCAGGTTCTAGTCCTGGTCGGTGCGCCAGATTCTGTCCCGGTTGCCCCTCTTCCAGGCCAGCTCTCTGCTGTGGCCCGGGAGTGCAGTGGAGGATGGCCCAAGTGCTTGGGCCCTGCACCCCATGGGAGACCAGGAGAAGCACCTGGCTCCTGCCTTCAGATCAGCGCGGTGCACCGGCCACGGCGGCCATTGGAGGGTGAACCAACGACAAAAGGAAGACCTTTCTCTCTGTCTCTCTCTCTCACTGTCCACTCTGCCTGTCAAAAAATAAAAAAATATATACAAAAAAATGTTTCACAACAGCTTTGGCACATGGTAAGTACTCAAAAGGTTTGTTCTTATTCATGATTTGTCTGCTGTGGCACCAGTTCAATGAAGTGCATGGAGAAAGAGCATGGGCTTTTGAGCAAGACAGATCTTAGAGAATTCTTACCTTCTCTGAACTTGCCTCCTTGTGTGCTAAAGGGAGATGGCGTTACCTACCTTGCAGAGTTGTTATTATAGTGAATCTCTGGGATGAGGTCATATATTTTAAAATCAGGGGCAGGCATTTGTCACAGTGATTAATTAGGTTGTGGCTTGTGGTGCCCGTGTCCCATATCAGAGTGCCTGGTTTGAGTCCCAGCCTCTCCACTTCCAATCCACCTTCCTGCTAATGCACACCCTGGAAGGCAGCAGTGATGGCTCAAGTACTGGGGTCTCTGCCACCCACATGGGAGACCTGAATGGAGTTCCGGGCTCGTGGCTTTAACCTGGTCCAACCCAGGTTGTTGCAGACATTTGGGGTATGAACCAGCAGTTGGAAGATCTCTGACCATCTCTCTGTCTCTGCATTTCAAATAAAAATGAAAATACATAGATATTTACAAAATAGATAAAATCGTACAGTGATGGCACATGAACATTCAATAAATACTAGTTCCTGAGGAAAGGGGGAGATGGACCTCATGCCTGCCAACTATCCAGAGAACAATCATCTCTCTTGGAGACATGTAAAAACTGTAAAATGCTCATTCTCAGGTTAGGAAACAACACCTACCAGGACCACCTGCATTTTAGTCCCATTGTGCCTGTGGTTCCTTTCCCATCCACACTCCCTTTTCTGTCTGCCTGGAAAAGTCGGTCATGAGGATGGCAGGAAAAGCCAGCTCCAGCGTGTCTTGGAGAAATGCTCTCTGGCATGCTCAGGCATCCCCAGTTGCCCATCCTCTTTCCTGTGTCTTTCAACACCTGTGGTGTGGCAATGCGTATGTTCTTGGAGAGTGACCAAGGCAGTGACAATAGTGTAGCTTTGCAGCCTGGGTACTTAGCATGGTGCCTGGCAAAAAGTACACACTCAATTAATGTTTGTTGAAAGACACATACTTGGGGCCAGTACTGTGGCGTAGCAGGTAAAGCTGCCGCCTGCAGTGCCAGCATCCCATATGGGCGCCGGTTCTAGTCCCAGCTGCTCCACTTCCAATCCAGCTCTCTGTCATGGCCTGGGAAAGTAGAAGATGGCCCAAGTCCTCGGGCCCCTGCACTCATGTGGGAGACCCAGAAGAAGCTCCTGGCTCCTGGCTTCGCCTGGGCGCAGCCCTGGCCACTGCCGCCATCTGGGGAGTGAACCATCGAATGGAAGACCTCTCTCTCTCTCTCTCTTTCTCTTTCTGCCTCTCTTTCTCACTCTGTATAACTCTGACTCTGACACTTTCAAATAAATAAATCAATCTTTTTTAAAAAGTAAAAAACAAAATAAATTTTAAAAAAAGGTACATACTTAACCCTGTTCCCCATTTAAAATTAGGACTAAAAGTGAAAGCAGTTAATTTTAAGAAAGCATCAACCTTAGCTGTA